GAATGTTTTAATTTTTGAATTTTCGCTTAAGAAAATGTACATTTTCCTATATAATTTTCTTTGGATTACGAAATCATTAGCATAAATACTAAGTATTATACCGTTTCCAATTAAAAAATATAAAAGTAGATTTTAAAATGAAGTAAAAACTTAGGAATCGCTATGGAACTTTAGCATAACACTAATTACTAAATTATTTATATTTTGTATTGTTTGGTACCGAATTATTATTATCTTGACTCAACTCCCCAGGAATAACAAAATGTTTGACCCCTTAATAACTAGGCAGGTACTGGTACCTATCTAAGTAATTTCACAGTATGTTCAATATGTTTAAGTAGTATTTTCACAAATATTATACATAATCATATAAATAAACCCCAATTATGCGGTTATTTACAATACAATTGTAAATCATGTTTTATAACTATTATACACATATATCAATTGATCTTGGCCTATTTAAATTATACAAAACTATATAATAAATGTATTAGTCAATATTATATTAGGATAATATGATATTAAATTAAGAATAACAACTAAGAAAGTTATATAAAACCACCAATAAATCATATTATTATATTATAAAGATGCAAAACAGATAAGTAAATATAAAGTTTTTGAATAAATCCAGCATTGAGGAGTCACGAAGGCGAAGGGATTGCTTTACATACGAGATATTTTATTCTTCTAATAAAATATATAATTTAAGGTACATATACTACATGCATTATTTTACACGCTCTGTATAGCGTACTATGTCTAACTTATAATCGATTAACACTGTTACTATATTATTAATAATACATTTTAACCACCCTAATTCCTAAGAACATATGTACGATACGAGTTTCGATAAAATGGGTGCATACGTCCAAATAAACGAAATAAAGAATCCATACTTAAAATCAAAATTGTTATATGCATAAAATAATTTTCTCACATAATATTATAGAATTATTGTACATTGAACGGCGAATCGTGCTGTTCGTTTCTAAATCGTATTCGTTTTGCAACCAAGTGGTAAAAAGGTCCTTTTTAGAATAAATAAAATATCTTTCAATATATTAATATAATATCTTTCCAGGAATCTTCGACCTTATATTATTTTTGTACGAACATTTCAAACATCATTCGAATAAAATGTAGAACACTGCAATATGCCATTTATTTGATCATATTATGTATCATCACGACACATTTTAACCTTATCGTATTCTCAACTAAATCTATATAATATAACATGCACCTACCTACATTGGTTAGCAATATTTTCTGTGTCAAATAATATTGTTCTAATAAAATATACTATATGACATGATACTTACAAGCGTATTTACATTATAATATATCATTATATTTGTTTTTCATGTAATTTATTATTAAGTGCCTACTTACGACACGTAGGTACATGCAACGTTGTATTCAATGTTTTACTATGACCAATAAGTTGTTGGACTAAAACTTACACTGCTCTGATTGTGCAGGACTTTCCCGGCGTAATTTTCCCCATAAAATATCATTAAATTGCATATTGCTGCGATGGTAATATCTAATAAAAATATATTATATTTGACCGGTTGTTCGTTTTATCTTTATATCATTTTTAAAACCCACTGCGTATCAATAATAATATCAATTTTATTTATTACAATATCAGCTGGTTCTTCGAGTGGATTTTTCTTGTATAAATTAATATACCGTGAAACTAATTATTTAATATTAGGTACCTACCTACAATATAATTGTATAACATCTTCTATAGCGTTGTTTAATCAAACGCTGACGAAGACAAACTGATTGGCAAGATATTTACGCATAATAATAATATAATACAGATGTATACAGTTCAATGTAGTATAGTGATCGTGCGGAATATTGAAAATAAAAATAAATACATTTAACCGCAATAAGTTGTATTCAATAGACGTAATAAGTCGTCAGCTGTAAAAATAAATAAAACCGTCAAATGAAAAACGATATCAGTATTATGAGAATTTCATTTGAGCGGGTTCAAAATTAATTTCCTGATGCCAGGCATTAAACGTCTCAAACGAATAAACTCGCGTTGGACAATATTCGGTCCGGTGTCAGGTCCCCGGACAGATCTGTATATAGTTACATCTCACTCGAGCCCCGAACATCAGTGTACGCGTATATAAAACGGTTGAAATGGTAATAAAAAGAAAAAGAGATAACGTTTTTCATTTGGTGAAAAGTATTTTGTATAGGTATATACGTGTAATATAATATATTATACGAGACATTATATTATGTAAGGCGGCTTCCGAGGCAAATAATGAATGAACGGCCGGATTATGAAAGCTCTAAAGACGCGAATGTGAAAAACCTATATGTTTTGACGACTTCGTTTTAAACAGCGGTAACCTCACTAAATCCGTAAAATCGTGACGGGAAGAGCGAGAAAGCCGCGGTGTGCGTCCCGGAAAATAAACATATTATTATTAGGTATATATATATATTTTAAGGATAACGTTCGGACGACGGCGAACATTCATAATAACAGTTTCCCTCGGCTTTAATATTGAAAAAAGTGATTTTTTTTTAGTCTCGGGTCTCAGCACGCCGGTTGACTCCGGTCGTTAAAATCCTATAAATAATATATCTCCCGCCAGTTCCGCGCTACTGATTCATTATTTCGACCGCATATTATATTTTATTATATTACAATATATTATTATACAGGTACCTATAGCTGCACAATAAACCGGGGGCAAGGTTGTAATAAAAATGACGGAACATTGCAGCGTTCTGGACGATTAATTAAAGCGCCACATTAACCTGAACATCGCATTTCCCTATACGCCCGTCTATGTTGATAAGTCTGCAGAGTGTATATTAACACGAATTTATCTCGAATTGGTAATCATAATATCCTTCGACTTACGTCAAATCGCAGTACGAACACGTCAATGAATCTTTATTAATCACGTATATTCAGACAAGTCCATGCGATATACTTATTATTTACATAATATAGATGAAATCGATAGTCTTGGTAAAACGAAATCTCGTATAAGTAAAACGTGGAGCAGTTACTCGCAGTTATCCTCTATAGTATCCCAAAAAACACTACGACGTCTTTAATTAGTATAATGGTTTGAGATAACACCGATGAAATATGTTATAGGTACGTGAAATAGATATCCTAATGATTTCATAGACTTTTTTTAATATAAAGTTTTAAAGTTATTTATTAGTTATTATTATAATAATATTTTGTCGATTGATTTTAATGGTGCTTAAATAATGGATCTAGGGCAATTGGTTCCCACGAAAAAACACCGAGTGCGGACAATTGGTCCACGTCATCATTTTATACACATTTGGTTCCAGGTTTTTAAGTTAAATACAAAATATTTTTTTAGCATAGTTAGTACTGTAATGCTAGTATAGTGTTATACTTTATAACCAAATAAAATCCGTCTATCTATTATGATTTAAGATACCTATTCATATACTTATTCAAAAATGTGAATAATATAATATTGTACAATGATTGTTTTGAAGTATAATGTATTTATGTATCGGTGGTGTTTTTGAAATATTCATTTTTTATTTTAATTTTTTATTAGTAGACACAACATAGATTATTGGGAATAATATTATACACAGAAACATTTATTTGGAAATTTTGCTCATTGATTTTTACCTCCCGCCCTTATACTAAATACATTTTTATTTTTATTCTACGACCGTTAAAACAGTTCCAATTAGTTGCATAATATGAAAGTAAACTAAAAATAAAGCATATTGTGGGTGGGAATTTTCTAGAATTATTGGAAATATAACTATTATTTTATCACTAAAGTGGTAGTGAATAATGTATATTATAATGAAACTGAAATAGTAAATGAGAGTATATAATATTTGTAGGCCTCTTCAATAGGTGAATAATATGCTGAATATTAACTATAAAGCACATAATAAACTTGACATTTTTATTTTAATAAACACTAATTGATGCCATTGGGTATTGAGTATACACATTTTATTTATTCGAACACAGCATCTACGATACAAAACCTGGACAATACGTATTTGTTTCATATCTCTGGCATTTAATTTACGAGATGTAATATTATCGATGGTTAATCAAAATTTGGTTCGTGGACATCTCGCTGGTGTTTTAAACTGATTCTGAATCAATTTAACGGTTAGTCATGATAAACCAAAATGTATTATCGTTGTAATAATATATCTAATAAAAACGAATACCTGCATATATTTTTAAGTCTTACCCCGACCACGTGTTACCACGTATAACGACGATGTAGTGCTATAATATAATAGAATAGCGAATCTATAATAATAATAAATAATAATACTTAAGACCGAAACTAATATAGGTAGGTACTCATCCCTGATAGGTTAGGTGCATAGTGTGATGGAAATAAAATAGAAACGCGAAGTCACGTCAACCCTTAAATAGATCCCCTCCGGTGTCGCGACGCCGCGGCTTACGGCTTATATCGAAAGTGGGTCAAAAAGGGCAGGAAGCAGCTGTTTGAAAATAGCATTATTATCGCGTACTATACTGTATAGAATTTTACGTTCGGGTCACCTCGTGAGAGGCGAAAACGTATGCCGTGGATCTAATGGGGGGGGGGAGGACGAGAAAAGTATGATAACATTACAATATTACCTATATAAGACTTACATAAAATTATTATTATTATTTTCGACAGCTCTTTAAGCATACTCGGCACGGTAGCCAAGAATATAACAATGATATTACAATGCATATTATTATATTATATTATATATTATTATATAAGTAATCCTACCACCCTCCTCATTAGGTGCGTTTGAAGTGGATTTTTCTGGTAATTATTATCATATGTTGTTTTTCGTTTCGTTTTGTTTTACTCTGACTGATTGGTATTAAGATCGCATCAGTCGGTCGGTGCAGTTCACCCAAATTATACGTCGTGTACATATTGTATATAGGCGCCACGGCAAACCTAACATCGGTCATGGACCGTCTGCGATCGACGTTCAAGCGGTCGCGGACGCCGACGGGCGCAGAGATGAAGACGCAAACCAGCCTCGAGGTGCCCAAGCAGGTGCGGTCGGTGTCGTTCGACGAGATCAAGCTGGGGTGCGCCAAGCGGGACGAGGACGCGCGCAAAGAACGGACGTCGGCCGGCGGTGGCCACTCGGCGGCCGCGTCGTCGTTGCGAGTGCCAGCCGGCGGCGGCTCGGGACAGCGGTCGCGGAGTTTCGACTCGTCCGCCGCCGCGGCCAGCACCGGCGCGGCCACGGGTGACCGCGACGACCCGGGTGTCTACCTGGAGGTGCCGTCGTCCAAGCACCAGCTGTTCCACCGGCGGCGGTCGTCCGGCGAAAAGGTGCCAGCCGCCGCGGCTTGCGTGCACTGCGCCTATCTGGAGGAGCTGTCCAAGATGAACAGGTCGTCGTCCGGTGACGAGAACCAGAGGTATTGGCAACACGACGGGCCCTAATGCGGTGACCTGTTACGTTGTGTTTTTGATTTCTACTACTTCAGTCTCGTCGTCTCCGTCGACACCACCGATATAGCACGCGCGCAAGGCCATTCATTTATCGCAAGCCAGCGGCCAATACACGTGTATAAGTACAATAATAATGTGATGGCTTCATCCGGAATGGTCCTTAACTTGCATTCTCTTGGGGTTGCGAATCATCTTAGGTACCCACTACAACCCTTATAGCTAGGTCCCTGATTAATTTGAATACTACACTGGTCCTGGATTCGGTTTGATGATACATTAAGGTATACGTCTTGTCATTTGGGTAATTGGGTACCTACCGGATTTTTGAAAGATCTTCTGTGCCCGAATATAATTTACCGAGAACTCCCATAATAAAGATATAATGCATTTTAACATTCATTTTTATTGATAATTTCGTTTGTTTTCGACTTAAACGATATTTTCACGAGATTGACTCTCCGTTTTCAATTTTCTTATAGTAACATTTATCCTCAATGAATGTATTTTTCTTATGGTACATAATTACGATCATACATTTTTAGGTATTTGATAAGAAGATTAAATTAAAATTGTGATAAACTAGAATTTTTTTTAAATATTATTAAATATTGATAAGTGTCCGGTGAGGTGGATATGATAAGGATTGTTTAATAATATGAACTAGGTTGGGCTCTTCAAAAAATATCAGAGTCAACACTCCGGACACGCTTGGGCAATTAAAAAGGTATAATTTTGAAAACCGGAAGCACTCTGGTAACGCCCAATCTTAAATAATTAACGCGAACGAATGTTTAACGCAAACGGACAGTCGATTTACGAAACGGTGATAAGTCAAACAGTTTAGATTATTTTATTGCAAGTCATTGCTCACATACTCGCATATGACATTGAACATGGACATTTTAAATAAATTCATCGGAATGTCAGATGTGTCAAATTGACCACATACATTTGGCATGCATAATATCCTATAATATTACCACATATCAATGACACGATACCGTCTAGCCAAAAGTCAACCACTTTTATCATACGCATACCTAGTGTCGTTTGGGACACCCAACTCAGATGCACCGAATGTTTTAGTCTGTTGGCCACAGTTTAATAGGAATTAATTATCGATCGAAATGACTCTCAAAGTTTAAAAAATGATTCATCGAATTTTCCAGGACGTTGATTGGCGGTTATGGCGATCATCCGGTCTGTACGTCTGGTAGGGGGTAGAGGGTAGGTCTCAAGCGAGTGGTGCGTCTCCATGCACGATAACAATCTATCGTTATTGGACACGCGGCCGCCGGTATGTGGATATGGTTCTGGTCGATTGGTTGGCTGGTTGACGGATGGATAGCTGACAAATGGGGGGGGGGGGGGTGAGTGTAAGGAGCAGATCGTTGTAGTCCTTTTAAAATTTTCAGGATTCATGTCCACCCGTCGGTAATAATACCAAAAACGACGACGATTTTTCTTTCGTTTCGTCTTTGCCCACTGGGTTTTAGTCCTATTTATTTTGATTGTAGAAACATCGATCCAACAATTATTGTAAAATTAGTACCTAACAGTCTAGTAAATATTGTACTGTACAGTTTTTTTAATGAACGAGTTATGCAAGTTTAATCATTTTTAACAGAATTCTAACAGTTTATGATTCGTATTGTCATAATACTTTTAGGCTGAATTATTATAAATTTCTGATTAACAATTATCCCAGTTATATAAAATTATATACACATTTAGCATTTTAAATTTGATAAACACGTTTTATGTAAATATAACTCTTTTCATGCGTATAATTTTAAGACTTGAATTCAATAAGTCCTGAAGATATTATTTGACCGGTAAATCCCTAGATACTGTGTGATCAAATTCAAAACTGAAAATGTTTGCAGAATTCATCACTCGAAAATATATTAAATTTGGTTATTTGCACTTAAAATCTTGATCGGTGAAAATTAACAAACGAATAACATCTTGAAATGTTGGTATTTTTCAATATCCTATTTCGAAAGTATTTCCAGTCCTATAAAAGTATAAAATATATATTTACACTAAAGACGGGAAGTGTACGATGCATTTTCTAAGACTTTTATTTTACCGAAATGACGAACCGCATAGAATATATTACTATTATAAACGCTAACTGAATACCGAATAACAATGATAAATATACGGCCAAATACTATCCCGCATTGTATAGGTACAATATAAAGATAATAATATATAATATCATCATTAATATTTAGAGTTATTTTTGTCCTTTGGGCCAACACCGTCTTCGTTGTTCCCGTGGAACACGACGTGCTGTTCATATAAAAATTCCTTACGATATTCAGCGTCGACAATTAATTTAGCGTCGGTACCGCATATTTTATATTCTCGTTTGACGATAACAAATACAATATAAACCACTAATATTATATCATATTATTCAGCACTTACACAATAGTAATAATAATAATAGTAATATTATTAATATTAAAAACGCGAAAATATTTGATTGCGCGCGGTCTCTCAGATAATATGTAGCAGTATAATAATATCGATCCCCCACTCCCACTACACTCCATCATTAGATAATACAACCATTGTTGTCAGGGCTCCCACGTGTACGCCAGCCGTAATAAAATTATATGACGGTTTTTTGTGTGTTTTTAGAGAAAACACTCTCAAAGACTCTTTTTTTTTCTTTTATAATAACCAAAACCAATTTTTTATTTTTATTCACTTCGGAACTTTTTTTTTGTGATGTAAAATATATGCATTTTGTCGAAATTGTATTATGGCACATAGCAGCGGTGGATACATCGACGTACACAAGATATATATTATTTGCTCGAAATAACGTCGTTTTGTGTTAAAAGAAAGACCAAACGTGCAAACAATTTTCCAGCGCTGAATATATCGCTGCAATAAACGAAGGTTTCGATTGCACAAGATGTCTAGTGAATAAAAAAAGTTCTAGAAAACAATAACGACTATGATAATGACGGTGACGGTTTAAAAATCCAACACCTGCATAAGAATAGGTTGAACATTATCAGAACCTTACCACCCCCCCTCCCCCTCCACCAACTTAACAATATTAAGTATATTAGCCGGGTGAGATTTAGTCGTACGGCTAAGCCAGCAGTGACATCGAGCACGGTTTTGGGAAACTGAAATTCTCGGACTCTTCGAAGGTGGGTTATTGGACGAGGGTGAAAAATAAGGGTTGGGAATGGTCGTTTTACGGTAGACAGGGACACGCGTGCTATTCGGTGGACGGCCGGCAGATGGCGCTTTAGTCGAAACTGACCTACGTGCGTATGTTTGTGTGTGTGTTGTTTGGACGCAGTCAGAGGTCGTTCACGTCGACGTCGGCCAGCGAGGACATGGAAGACGAGGATGACCGCGGATGCCAGATCACTGTCACCGTGGAGGCCGACCTCCACGACGATCTCGTGGCGGCGGCGGTCCGTTTGTCCATCGCCGACGGCGGTCCCGCGCTGCCCCCGCCGTCCGAGTCGGCGGACGAGTGCGGCAAGAGCCCTCTGACGCTAGAGCTGACGCCGCCGGACGAGTATCTGCAGGGCAACCGGCGGCGGTCAATCACGTCGCCCAAACTGGAACGGCAGGAAGCGTTCGCCGTCAGCGACGCGGCCGACCCGGCGGCCGTCCGCGACCTGTTCCTCACGGTTCCCGACCTGAAGCGCGACCGGGCCGCCAGCATGGACTCGTGTTTCATCAACAAGCCCACGCCCGCCGGAAAACCGGAAGAGGTGGTGCCCGTATCGCCCACCCAGCTGCTGCTCGATCCCAACTGCGGACAGCCGGCCTGCAACAACAACATCCGGTCCAGGTCCGTGGACATCGTGCTGCCCACCGACCAGCAGGCCCGGTACAAGGCGCTGTCCACCAATAATCAGACGTCGTCGCCGCCGTCGGCCGTACCCGCTCACAGGGTGCCGCCGGACAAGGGGTGAGTATATTATTATTACGATAATATTTTTATACGCTGTGATATAAAAATAAAAAATAAACACCATTGTGAAACCACTAGCTTCCTCGCTGAATCTAAAATGTCTTTAAGTTAAATTATACTATTTTGGGACTTGATTTGAAATATGTTACGATCCAGCATATTATTGACTAAAACAAAAAATACATACATTAAAAATATAATATGTACGCATAAAACAGTATAGATCAGTATAGCTCTGTTTTTAAATTCAAAAGAATAACGCACTAGTATTAAGAACTATGCGTATTTTTAATGTAAATATCGAGTTTTTAATCACCCTTCATCAACTTTTGCATGTGAAAATTATTTTGATTTTAATTTAAAATTTTATTATCTTAGTCCATTGCCTAATTGACCCCGACCATTAGATTTTTAATATTTAATTAATAGTGTTAGTTAAAATTAATCGTTTAATAAATTTATATTTAACTAGCGTGCACACTACCCATTTGTCAACTTGGAACCCCCTCTCCTCCAAAAAAATATATGACGTGTTGTTTGACATTTAAGACGACCATCTGACGGGGCAATATTTTTAAGCAATCTTGGCCTCCGAAAAGCACTTTATCTGTCTCGTCTAAATGCACTGCCGTTTGGTAATTAATATTATCGTTATATCGGACCATCAAATATCAGAATCACTTGAAATGACACACATGGCAGAACACATTATTGTACAGAAAAACGTATGTGCCTATTTCATTGATGTATCGATTCTCCGTAATAATACTTCAGAGAGTCAGTTGGGAGTGATTACATATATCACCATTTTCTGCACAGATCGCGAATGCCGATCGAAATGTTTGCCAGTAAAACGTACGTAAGTACGTACGAGTGTGTAGCAATATAAAGGGATATATAGATGCGATACCGTTGTTGCTCGACTTTAATTTATTTCTTATAATATGATTGTTCGGAACCATTATTTTAAAACCACCCACGTTACAAAGCGAGTGGACCTATAAAAAAATAATGGCACAGACATATTATCACGAGTTGAATGGCTGTTTTTAACTGTTCGATGGTTATTCTATACAGCCATGTACCTATATTGCCTATGCATTACGCCGACTATTAATTATATGTTTTAAAAACAGTAACTGGACTGGTTAATATTTTTATATTGAGACGGAAAATGAAATTCTTCTCTTTACGCAATGCTGGATAGTAATTTCAAGTAAAGTTAGATTAATTATAATATAATTAAATTACACCGTATATTATAGAACTGAAAATAGGTCATCCAAAATAAAGAAACCCGTGCTTTTTTTTTTGTTTTCCGTCAAAATTCAGAGTTTTTGTTTCTTAGGTACACCCAATATTCATCTTATATATTACGAATATTACGTTTTCAATGTATGAAATGAAATATTATCCTTTACTATCCCGTGTATTGGTGTGGTTATGACATGCATTCTGTTGGATTACGTAAAATATTATGGTATCGAGGACTAGATTTAAGTCTTGGTTTTTACTCGTCTGTGTAATGTTAATAGCAAATAAATAAATTTGTCATGTTTCATTATGTGTTTGATTTAAAAAAGACTCTTTCAATACAACATGTTACGCTTCAAAGTCTGGTTGTTGTATTACATCTGTAGTGTTAAGACAACAAAAGTTATATGTCACAATAGCCGAATTTCGCAGGAAAGATATTTTGACATTTCCATTTCTTTAAATTTTATTAAATATCGAAAAACAAATTGTTGGTGGACGTAATGAAAATTATACTATTGCCCATTATTTATTATGTTACTTACCTAATATAATAAATTATACATGCAGGGCTTATATATGAAGTGTCCACATTTTATATTATGAATTTATAATATTTACCTATTGAATTATCCATTGATCACAAGTCTTTTTTACTCACAAGCAAACATTACAAAGTAGTTTTTTTGTTTTAAACAAAAATAACTATAAGTCCAGACATGGTGAATGTGTGCTCTATTTATGATTACGTCAGTGAAAATGCTTTCAAAAACGTAGTTTTCTCCTATTTTTTTAAGGAATGTTTATCTAATGCTTATATATCTGTTCACTAAGTGTAAGTGGCCAAATGGATAATACTCATTTAAAAAAAAATATATTTTCAACTTACTGTCATTTAAAACCTTGTACATTTGGTTCACTGATTAAATTGATCTTGGTTTAACTAATGGTTCCATGAAACGATGTTGAGAACATTTTACGTCTATAATTCGGCTACTTGCCATTGATACATGCGTTTTTTCAAAATCCTTGGAAATGGTTTAACGCCATATTATTAGACCACGTATTATATTTAAGTATATTATAGCTAGTCATATATATTATATATATAGGTACTGATGAACTTATCTAGTAATTGGGAGTTAATAATTCATGTGTCACCTTCTCATATTGTTCATTAAATGCTTGGTAAAAATAAAATAATACTGTTATTAGTTGACTGTTCGTATGGACTGTGTTGGTAATAAATAACTAAAATGTTATGCTGATAATTTATTGTATATAAAATAACCTAGTTATAGATGCCTAAAGATAAATACATTTTATTTTTAGAAACTAATATAAATAATTATAAACCAATTTTTATTAAATTTAAATATATTAATTTTAGAGATTATTTGAATATTTGGAGTGACGTATTTTCGTTTAACCATATACATTAGATGTTAAATAGTTAATTTTGGAATTACGAAGAACAAAGAAATAACAAAACTCGACTTGGAAGAATTGTGATTTTAAAGTTTTTAATTAATTGTTCGGTAATATGACGTTTCCAGCACCAACTACATAATATATTTTTCTAGTATGTGGTAAATGGGTGTACTTGTACTGATTCAGTTTATAGTCTTCTGATAGAACATTTTTAATAAAACAATATGGATATTATTCATGAGACATTACGATAATACTCAGGGTGATTTGGATTGAATTCATCTAGATAAGGATTTTTGTATAATCTAAGTTAGTAATTCGATAACCGGAATAATAGTTTTAAAAAAAAAAGATTATAGGTAACATATAAGTAACTGCTGAACCACATGGTGTTATCCATAGATAAGTTTCAACACAGCTGTGTCTGGTGCGGAACCTATCTCTGAACTTGCACTAACCTCAATTGTACTATATCGATCGGATGAATAGTATACGTATACGATAGGACATTATAATGACGGCGGTCAAGTAAAATATTTATCAATCGAGCGGGGAAAAACTCGATTTCCCGACATGTGTGTGCCGTCGTCCCGTTCGTGCGGAATACATGCGCGGCACTATACCCACGTTTCGCCGAGTTCGCGACGAAATCGATTCTTACCGCCGCACATAATCGCTCATGACAGTGTATAATGATAATAATAATAATTATTATTACTGTTATTACTATTACTATTATTATAGTAATGCCGAAGCTGTATAAATACGCATAAATAGAACTCGATGTTGTCAGACTTCAGAAGTCGGATAGGTACCTAGTTATCTCACATCGACAGTCCGTATTTCCCTCGTCACGAATAATGGCGGTTGAGGGGCTTCGGTCCGGGAACTCGGGAAGTTGCGGCGTACTGGAGACGGTGAACTCGGGTCCCCGGAGTCTCTCGACTGTGTGTTTATATTTGTACGCATATATCGCATATATTACCGCTGTTATTACTGCATTGATATGTGCGCAGTAAAATATAATGTAGTCTGGCATACGATATGGTAAGTGACTACGCGAGATTGAAATAATTGGTATATTATGACGTAAGTCTAGACGAAAGTTTCTATACCCCAGACAAACAATATATTATCAAGTCTGTCTTAAGTAGTATTATAAAAATTGTTTACGTATAAGCGCGGTGGCCGGAATGGATGTAACATAATTGAAAAAGTGAAATTTCACGATTAAAGTTCGTATTTTCTTTTTCCTATTTTTTCCATTTGTTAATGGTACTTAAGTATAGCCATAAATAATACATCACCCTGCAATTGTACGAGTATACATTGTAAATTTATAAGCACGTTCAACCAAGTAGTTATGCTTAAATTATGCATTTATTGAAGTTCTTGTTATAGACATTTTTAAATAAGCCTGTATATGGAACCTTTTTACAAAATTGATTGCTTTCGACATTTAATGACTTATAGCGATCACGCAACTTACTATTCTATTAAGGTTTTATTGTTCAGATTTTACAAACTTACATATTTAATAACTATGCGTAGGTATTACATGTGTAATTGACAATTTGTAACTGACGATTATGTGCTAAGGAATAGCCAAGATTTATTCGGCAGGTTTTGCATTTACAAATGATTAACCTTATGTTTGGACTCAAATCTTATTGAAGAATTAAATTAAATTTGACCGTTAGTAAAACTGATGAGACAATATTGTGTAATAATGTTGACTCCAGATTGAAACAATTAAATTTCATCTCAAATCATGGTCAAAATGAACAAAATATAATTGCTAGAATACTTATAATATAACCTATAACCTTCAATACCTATAAAAAGGTTTTATATTAGCATGATTATAATATTTAAATTAACTATATTAATGAGTTGAAATAACAATGATGTGTTTATTGCTATTTTAATATTAACTATTGTCAAACAATACTATGGTTTGAATGGTATAGTAACTGGTGTTGGTTGAAACACATGATTCGGGTAATTCAACAGCTTCACTATTTTTAATATCACTCAGAGTCATATCAACACTTATTTTTTATGTGTGTACGATAAAAATAAAATTCTAATTAATAGTCGTTGAGGCGTCTTCGTACGAGGAACTTGCGAATAATATACATAAGTACCTACATAAGTGACTGGCCAATTCACTGGGGTACCTACCTTATCATATCTTCCTTGACTCGTAGTTTTCTCGTAACTTCTTCGACTCGTAAATATGGTGACGGGCCATATTTATCCGACCGGAAGCGAAGATGAAACTCGACAATATCCGTACACAACACTCGGTT